AATTGGAGGAAGACGTAACGACGCAGACTCTATAGAAGATGTTTGGTGTTGAAAGGACGGTCATCGACAAAGGTTACATCACGAGATAATGTATGCGACGAGTGAAAGAATAACAATGATAACCCTTATGCTCAGTACTATTTCCCATAAACACACACTCAACCCGACTAAACATTCAGTTTAGTACGCTCATGAGGAGCAAACAAAACATATATACATTTAAAAACTTGAAGATGATCATAGCTAGGTTAGGGAAAGTGTATCCTGCCAGACAGACATACAGTTGATAAGATAAGATAAATAGTTGTGGACACAACCTCTCCCCAATAATGAGAAGGAACAAAAGACGCAATTAGAAGGGTTCGAGCGGTCTCAATGAGATGGCAGTGTTTCTAAAAATCAACGAAAATTGTTAGACAATGTGCAACCCTTGCAATGAAAACTAGACTCGATAGATGTATGGCCTAATCAACAATTACTAATCAAAGTAGACAAACGAGACCCACATAAATGAGGCTTGACGAAAGATGAGGTGGAAGATGAACCAACAGATGACACATGAGCCTTGAACGAGAGAAGCAACGGAAGGAGAGAAGATGTAAAGTGTTAAAAAATGTAGAGTCAAAGAACCCTTACGGCGGTGGCAGTCCCAATCACAACCCCGCTTCGACGATCTGAATAAAACAAGACAAGTCATGAAATCCAACAAAAATGTTTTGATCAGCGACCTGACCAACTAAAAGAATATTCATGGATAATAGAAAAATAAAAGAGATTAGGCACTGAAAAACGTGAATTGCATAGAAATCATGCGTGTTATGACAAGATGTACCATCAGCTGTATAGAAGTACCATCAGTGACCGACCTTGCAGGTAAGCAAAGGACAAATGCCACATGAAAAGATGTCACGTGAAAAGATGTCCCTAAGGACCCAAGACGGAAGAGCACTAATCCTCTTTGTAGCATGCGTCTTAGTACGGGCCCAAGCAGCACGAGATGCACCATCAACCTACTTTTTTGGATGCTAAGAAGAACAATTTCTACGCCATGACATGTCTTCCCGCAATGCTTACAAGTTTCCGAAGAACCACATCTAGGTGTACTAACCGTTAAGCAGAATGAAGCTGCCAGTACACTAGGAGATGTGAGATGCTAGCATAGAAGCAATTGGCATAGAATGAAGATGAGACTTATGAGCAATCAAATCATGTAACTCTTGTACCATGGTTAGAGTGGAAGAGTTATGAAGCAACCATGTGCGAATGGAATCAAATTCCGTTCGTACTCTTATGACAAAGCGATATATAAAGAATTCCCAACAAATATATGTGCTGAACACTCCTCTTCTTACGTATCATGGAATTCAATGGTCTAATCAAAAAATCAAATGCAGAATAGTCTCAACAATGGACATATTGTTCTAATCAATCACATGAATTTGTTGCATAAGTGTGGAGGAGTGCACCACTATCCTGAACGTAGCGTTGGTGCTAATAGGATTACACTGCCTTGGTTGTCCAAAAATATGAAAGACTCATAATCATGGACTGCTTGACACTATTGACGATGTCAACAGTCACTTTCTCGTGGAAAGTCAGATGATAACCCCTTGATACGGTTTTCACAATAAAAGCCCACTCCTGACCATTAAGAGTGACCATCAAGGATGATATTGATAGCAATTGCATTGAGTTGCCACATGATTCGACTACGTATGACAACACTTATTCCTTCGCAATGGGCAGACGGTACGAGGTATGAAGTGAGCAGCAACAGCGACGTATGGAGCGAGCAGAGACGAGCCGCGATAAAATATGAATGAAGTGGTTGCGACGGACAACATAGGGCCACATGACGGACGGGTGACGACAAAAAACAGAAATTGTCTTGTGTCGGGTTGGATTGGAATACACGAATGCTAACCGCAATACTGGCTGATCTATAAAAGGCCAAAACGGACTTTGAAAACCTCCCAAAACAGAAAACTGAGATCACCGGTAACAAGACCAAATTTTTCTGAGTCGATGATGAAAGTTTGCCGGAAAAAATTCCGGTGACGCACTCACCCTCACGCGCCAGCGCATGAGATTGCCGGCAAGAACTGTGGCGGTGCGTGGGACCCACATGGGCGGATCTGGCAGCGAAAATTGATCTGAAAGTCGATCTTGGGGTAGCGACAGTTGGTGTGGAGTTGAGATTGGAAAAGTACCCTATTTTTGTAGCTCTGATTCCATGTTACAAACCTAGGGTTTTGAATGAATGAGGTTCCTTTGATGTGTATGACCATATATAATTCTTCATGAACTATATGCCTGTGATATATGGTCCTTGATATACTTAACAAAGCAATTCTCTCTTTTTCTTTATTTTCGGACTATGGTTTCTGTTTGATATCTCGCATTCAGCTCGAAGAATAAAAAAGTTAGTGTTCTGAGTTTGTTCATCTGAATAATATGTTCGTGAACCATTGAAATTTTGATTGAACGTCCATATTTGCCTATTGAGTTTGTATAGAAACTCTCATTTTAACTCGTGTGGTCCTCCTTGCTCCTTTTGACTCTGTGGCCTGCCCTATCGTATATTGATGTAAAATCAGTAAATTTCATTAGCAGCATCATGAAACGTTGACCTATCTATTTGCTTTACATGAAGTAAAATTTGATGTTAAGCATAATCACGCCTTCACCTTTATGATTTTCAGTTCTTTGCAGTCTTTTCGAATTTATTCCTATTAAGATGCTGACTAGACTTTTTTCTTTCTGGGCTTTGATTAGACCCCTGCAGAATTTGTGAAACCTATCTATCTTCAATATGCAAAGCTGGAGGAAGACTTTGGTCTGGCTAAAAATGCAATGGAAATATATGATAAGGCGACAAAAGCTGTACCAGATAATGAGAGATTGGGGATGTATGAATTATACATTGCCCGGGCTGCTGAAATATTTGGTGTTCCAAAAACTAGGGAGATTTATGAGCAAGCTATACATTCTGGCCTGCCGGACAAGGATGTGAAACTCATGTGTCTGAAATATGCTGAACTTGAAAAGAGCCTCGGTGAAATTGACCGAAGCCGTGCACTATATAAGTATGCCTCCAGTTTTGCAGACCCAAGAACCGATCCTGATTTTTGGAACACATGGCATGAGTTTGAAGTGCAACATGGAAATGAAGATACTTTCAGAGAGATGCTCCGAATGAAAAGAACTATTTCAGCCAGTTTCAGCCAAGTAAGAATTGTGACTGATTTTGCTCATCCAGAAACTTGTTTAAGGACTCTGAATACTAAAAGAAAAAACATTCTTCAAAATCATAAGCACCATATTGATCTTGTTTCCGTAACAAAATGCTACCTTAGTGGGGGAATTTTTTTTAAAAAAGTTCAAATCTCAAAGGGATGTTTGTAACTTGGCTGATATTTCTACTTTGGAAAGAATATTGGAATCTTGTTAATCAGACAACCAAAAGTAGTTTATGTAATTTACCCTTGATGCTTAATCTTTATACTTTGCCACTGTATTGTTTCCATGGTCAACGAACGCTAACCCGTTCTGTTTCTTTCAGACGCACTCTATCCTTCCAGAGTATTTAATGCAAAAGGATCAGCTGCAAACTCTGGAAGAAGCCAAAGATGTGCTGAAGAAAGCAGGTGTACCTGATGACGAGATGGAAGCTCTTGAAAGGAAATTAGTGCCCTCTACTAATGGCACCACGACAAACGAAACCGGTCGAAGGTTAGGGTTTGTGAGTGCTGGTGTACAGAATGCTGTAGAGACCACGGCAGCCAATAAGGAGGATATTGAGCTACCGGACGATAGTGATTCGGAAGATGATGGTGATGGGAAGGTTGAAATTGCTCAGAAAGATGTGCCTAGTGCTGTATTTGGTGGTTTGGCTCAAAAGAGGGATGGGCCTGATGATGGTGATGCAGAAGGTGTTTCACAAAACAAAGACAATGATGGGCATCTTGGTGCCCTTGAAAGAATCAAGAGAAGACGAGGAGCGTGATAAACTATAGTGTTTCATTTCTTCATGCCTGGTGAACTATCTTTAATCTGAAGAATTGAGGTGTTACTTTTAATTGTTATTCTAGGAGATTATGCTATGTTAGGTTTGATCTCTCCTGGGTGTGGGAGTTGCTTTGGGATTTTGAGTACATCATCTGCTTTTGTTTTTTCCAGTCTGTATTTCAGTCCTATTCCCAATGTTGTAATCACATTCGGACAAATCTTATAGCAATTATGAATCGTGACGGTGGGTTTCGCTTCTGTCTGTCTTGTATTTGAATATGTGATGCAACGTAAAATTCTTGTGCAGATTTTACATTGTTTATTTCATGTGAATGTTTTGGAGTATACATATTGTTTATGTGTATATCCATATGACGTGATACATTCTCGGGGCATGTTTATTGTATGGCATCTCGAGAAGTGAATACTGAACTTGCCCCATTATAAGATATCGGTCACAGTAAAGGTTGAGTTGTAATAGCTTAAATTTGTACTTGGGCGTCTATGCATATATTTGAGGAGCATAGAGTCCGTAAATGAGTTGATTTGTAATAGCGAAATTGTCCTTTAACGCACTATACATACATTTGAGCATAAATAATCCGTATGCATATGCCCCTGTTCAGTGCTAAGAAGGAACTTAGAGTAATTTTTCTATTGCACATTCACCTTTATAACTCCAGTTCGTTTGTTAACACATGAAGCCAATACAGAATAACCTATCAAAAAAATGTAGACTCTCTTCTACACGTTTAACACCTTTTGGGACAATATAAAATCTTGTGGGAAACAAAACAAAACAAAATGTACTTTAACAAGAACATCCTTCATCTTAGGCATATGGCAGTGACTATCTCTGTAGTTAAATTGTAAATACAAAGGTTGATTCCGGCCTCTTGCTTCCCCACTATTCCAGCTCGTTACATTTGTTTAATAACATCCAATCTCAACAGTTTTACATAAGCTTTTCAAAATTGGACATATCGGACATATCAGTGGATGACTGGCTTCAAAGGGTGAGCTCTGAGCTTTGATAAATCCAAGCTTGCATCTAGCTCTTCATCCAACTCCCCGACTATGCTTCTGCAAAAGTAAAAAATAATGAACCAAATTGATTAATATCGAGTAAGGTAAAAATAAAAGAGAAACCAATAAAAATTCAGGTGAATAATGCGTTCAGAGTTGCAATAGACCATACATGTTATCACCCCTTATGATGTAGAGGCCCAACACAAGCTGCTGTACACCTTCCTGCCAGAAATTAATTTATTATACATTAAACTGAAATTTTGTTGCTCCTGAATTCTGAGACGTTTATGAATTTTGCATCAAAAGCCCTTTGAATGTCTTTTTATATGCTTAAAAAAGAAAAACAGTTTGTGTCTCATTCTTCTTTTCTTTTTACCAAGATCAATTGCTGAAAAGACGTCCTTCAATTGGTCTCTTTACAAAAAGATAACGCGGGGGGTGAAAACCATTTGAACAGGAACTCTTTCTGAGATTTTATATTCAATCACAGCAATTCCTTAGGACTTCATTATGTAGGACTTGCAAGACTTATTCTCTCAATATTTTCATCTGAAGCCCAGAATCAATATGCCAAGGTACCAACACAAAAGCCAAAATAAACTATCACGACAAGAAAACACTTTATTTAGCTAGCTGTCACCTTGTTTTCGATACTATTAACAAATTTTATAATATGCATGCAAGAATGCAAATAACTAGAACAAAATTGAACTTGCTGAATGTTATAAACTACCCAGTTGGGTACAATGTCAAGTCGAGAGCAATGTTCTACAGGTAGAAAAGAAAGTTGAAACAAATGAAAAAACAAAATCAGTCTGTAGAACACAATGGCATAAAGCCATGTTCACTAGTTTGATACTTATAAGAATATTGTACCTTGGTGGAGTACACTCGTTCATGGGATTCATCAAGAATTATGTTGGTAGCCTGATCAAAACCTTTCAGGACACCCTGCATAAATGATCATTTTTAAGACAATACCTACCTAAAAAGTTTCTTGCTAATTTGGCCCAAAAATGAAGCTCACCACAATATTTCGCCCGTCATTTGTGATAATTGAAATTGTTTCTGAGAACATCAAAACCATGGAAAGTGGTTACTAATAGGAAAGCTCACATTGCCAAAAACACATGGAGGTTATTAAAGGTAGAGACAGGACTAAATATGTCAGGTTAAGCTCCTCCACACAATATGGCAAGTAGTTCATATGCTCCTAGTATATTAATATGGTATCTCTAAGAATAGTTCACTGGCCCATAAAAAATGAGATGGGTTGAAAAAATTAGTATTAAAAAGGTCCAACGTTTTTATTCATCCCTTTTTTTTTTTTTTTTTTTTTTAGAGNATTTTAGGCTATTTATTTGTTAGAACTACTGCTCCACATTTGTTTAAAAGATTAATATTGCGGCCAAAAAAGGGAGGCACTCTGTGGTTCACCTATTTGGAGATCAACAAATAAACCCAAGCATTGGAGATGATTTTGATGTACAAAAAAGTTGCACAAAAGATTGTAATGTTCTCACAAAACACGCAAGTCAGGGTTGCAAAGTGTTGAAGTGTGGCGTTGAGTTGCTCATTTTATGTTGTGAATTTCTGTTATTTCCGTTTCTTTTGCTTTATCGGTAGAAAATGTGTTCTTAGATACACGTTTCTTTTAGTTTGTCCGTAAGTTCAAACGACATCGTCTAAGCAATACATTACGACGCCGTTTCTTTGTTGGTTGCATGTGTACGAGTACATAAGACGGCCCTACTGTACGTACTTCTTTTTCTAAGCTTGAATACACTGAAATGAAAATGGAGAAGTTTCTCCCCTAAAATCTCTCTTAGCTTCAACACAAAGGAGGTGTTTCAGTTTCTGTAGAATTTCTTATTGTCAGAATTCAGTCCATTATTTTCATATTTGCCAAAATAAGTAAATCACCTTTCAGCTTAATTTGTCAGGTGTAGCAACAATTCCAATTCTATGAAGGTTGCGAACGATAACTATGACAACCGTGTAGATTATTGTCAGAATGACTGCATTCTAGATCACCATAAAACTGAGAAATCAAGAAATAATTCAAATAAAAATGATATGTCTTCAGGTAGGATAGAATGCTTACGATCAACAAGAGACTCGAGTCCAGCTCCAGTTGCCATCTTATCCTTGTTATGAATAAGAAACAACAGAATTTGTGGGACAGAATTGAAACTTCAGTTAATTATCTGCGGACATATTTCCATACACAAGTGTATAAGTGAACATAGACGAGGTTAAAAAAGGAATATTCGAAAGGTAAATGTCCAAAAAAATAAAATAAAAAAACGAATAAATAAAATAATAAAATAATATAAAGAAAACAAGAAAGGAAAGGAATAGACAAGGAGAACATACACACATCACTCTCTTTTCTCAGGCCTACCTAAAGAAGTTGCACAAATTACTGACACAGCATGAAAATTCTGGAATAACCAAAAACATAATTCTAAAAATTGAAACGAAAGCTGTTGGGATACTCAGAATTCAGCTCCAAATGGCATTCTTCAGAATGCGCAATGCATTTTCAGGCTTAAGGTATTATAAAAGGGCTGGTAAGATCAGTTGGACAGTATCGTGATGCTGAAATCTTGCATCTGTTAGCACATTAACATTTCCCCATACCAATTTAGTTGCAACTCTTTTGACTTATATCCGCAGCCTATCAAAGGAAGAAAAAAAAAAATATACCCATTTTTGACTTCTCCTATCATGGTATGAGGTATTCCACCAGGTGCCAACAACTAAGAAGCAACACTTAAATTTAATATTTCAAATGCCACAAAAGCTGCCTACTCTCTATATTATACATCTATATCTTCATGGACAGTAATAAAAAACAGAAAAAAAGTGGGAAGCAGGAAAAACATAGTGATACATGATATGGCATATTTTTGGGAAAACAAATTCAGTATTAAATGCCCAATACACCGCCATTCTAAATGCAAACAGGAATCTTAGCTAGAAAATTCGACAGCATTCTCTCACCAAAAATAGTGATCAGACTTCTCTGAACATAAACTATTGTAACTTAATAACAACAAAACTGAAAACGGAAGGGTTTATTTCATTTTTAGACCAGACGGATTTTTATAATACAAAAAGAAGAAATAAAAAAGAGAACATGGGTTTCATGATTCAGCAAACCAACTCTTCAGCAGGAAATAATCTGAGCTCATAATTCACCGAACCAATTTTTAAGCAGGAAATATACCATTGGTTAACTAAATGGGACTCCATATAAAAGATTACTACAGATGGAAGATTGAATACCTGAAATTCGGTGGCGGTGGTGGAGTCTTGGCCGCGGGACAAAATCGTTGAAGGGGCTTTAGGTTTTCTCTTTTAACGAAAAGCTGTCGACCAGGAAGCCGAGTGTGACCAGTGAGGAAAAAAAGAACATTTTTGTATATATAGTGTAAGTGTTGGGTTCGAGTTATAAAGATTCTCACTCAAAAAGTGAAAATATATGGGATCCATTATATCAAATGGTTCAATGGCTAAAAAAATTTAGCATTTATTCATTCATTAAGGATATTTTAACATTTTAATAATCAATTTGTGGCAACTAAAAAATCATCCACACTCAATTATTTCACGGCACGTGCCCAAAACACCTCACACATCCCACACCCACCCCTCTCTCTCACAAACTGACACGCACACAATTAGTCAATACATACACACACTACTAAGGGTGTACATCGGTCAGTTCGGTCGACCGACCGAACCAAATTAGGAAAATCGAAATAACCGAACCATACTATGCCAATAAACGAAACCGGCCGAATTATCAATTTAAACCGAACATTAACCGACTGAACTTCTTGGTCGGTTTCAGTCGGTTTGGTCAATCCGAACGAACTATACATTTTAATATATATTTATATTTAATATAATATATATACATATATATTATATATTATTCGGTCGGTTCGTTAATTCAAACATTTGATGTCCGAAAACAGACACCGACCGAAATAACGGAAAAATCAAAAACTGACCGAGTCGAATATCAGTCGTTCAATAAAATCTTTTGTATTCACAGGTCAGTTTCGGTTGGTTTTTTCAGTTTTAGTCGAATTATGAACACCCCTACACACTACACATAGCACACACACAAATACACACACGCACACAGTGGACGAACCCACTGCCAGCCGCCTGATTCCTGGCGGCGTCATGCCTGACCGACAGCTTAGGCATCGCCGCACCTCCGCCAGCTCGTCGCGCTGCCGTACGTGTTGGAGGTCCGATCCGACGATCCGCTGCCGCCATCAGCCTCCACCACGAATCTCGGACTTCCGGCTACCGGTCGCCGTACGTCGTCGGGATCTCTGCATCAACCGTGGCGGAGCTCACAGTCACGTGCACACTTCGCCGCTGTTGGTCCATCGTCCGGAGCTCCACCGAAGTCGTTCTCCATCCATCTTAATCGGCAGCCGATTTCACCCACCCCCGCTGGAAGTTTACGCCAGAGCTCAGGTCGCAGCGGGAGAAGCTCTAGGACGAACGACGGAGGCCGCTGAACACATCGATGTCGGATGTCTCGGTTGGAGATGGCTGAACGACGCCGGTTGGGTGGTGGAGAAGATGAAGCATGGTTTGGGGATTAGGGCATGAGTGTGAGAATTAAATAATTTCAAGGGGCCTGATTGCAAATTAATGAAATTTGATTATTTTTAAATTTGGTACATGTGCCAAATGTGTAATTTATAGAAAATTTAATAAATATATGTTAATGATAAATAAATTTGCAAATTAATGAAATTTGATGTTTCGGCCACAGTGGTCGATCAACTTTCGGTGTTCGACCCCAGTGGCGGGTCTCTCGGTTTTTGACCTTAGTGGTCGATCAGCTTTTGGTGTTCGACCCCAGTGGCGGGTCTCTCGATTTTCGGCCACAGTGGTCGATCAACTTTCGGTGTTCGACCCCAGTGGCGAGTCTCTCGGTTTTCAACCTCAGTGGTCGATCAGCTTTCGGTGTTCGACCCCAGTGGTGGGTCTCTCGATTTTCGGCCTCAGTGGTCGATCAACTTTCGGTGTTCGACCCCAGTGGCGGGTCTCTCGGTTTTTGACCTTAGTGGTCGATCAGCTTTCGGTGTTCGACCCCAGTGGCAGGTCTCTCAATTTTCGACCTCAGTGGTCGATCAGCTTTCGGTGTTCGACCCCAGTGGCGGGTCTCTCGATTTTCGACCTCAGAGGCAGGTCTTTCGGTATTCGACCTCAGAGGTAGGTCCTTCAATATTTGACCTCAGTGGCAGGTCTTTCGGTTTGTGACCTTAGTGGTCATTTGGTATTCATTTGGGGTCCCGATGCTCATTTGGAGGTTTGGTAACTATTCGGTGGTCGATGATTTATTCAAATTATAACCTCAATGGCAGGTTGACAGAAACAGCCCGAAGAAGAATTTCACTCTTGGATCGAGCTATGCTTACTCGACCAGAGTGGAGGGACTAGATGATATAGGATATCATAGACTAGACCAGCCTTAATGGATAAAAGGGGGATATATTGAAGAATAAGCCTATACATGGCTAGGACATGTGGCATGATGCTATTGGACAAGCCCAACTTGGGTCATAAGGTACATTCCCCTATAAAAGGGGGTTAAGGTATCTCATTCTCTCACTCTCTCTACATTCATTACTACACTTGAGATTTGGAGTGATTCTGACTTGAGCGTCGGAGGCCCGACGCCGGGACCCCTCCCGGCGTTGGGTTCTTGCAGGTACGGAGGCCGACCGAGTCGAAGGATCCCGAGTGAAATCTTATTCACTTCAACGACGAAATACACATTAATAACCGACACCTTGTACATTAATGACTGTCGAACTGCACCATAAAGCAACAGAAACAGAACTAACTAACTTGTTCCGTTTAAATTTGTTTAAAATAAAGTTCAAATTTGTGTTTACCTTTAAAATTTTGGTTTTTTGGTTTCGACTTTACAATTAAAAGAAAAACGAAATAACACAGCAACTGAACTATATAAAAATTATTATTTTATATATATTTTTATTTAAATATATTGCTATATTCAAACGAAAACAATGATAAAAAAAATATTAACATACGTAATATATTTTATAATAAATAACAAACAATTTCAGGTATTTAGGATAAATCGGTTAACTGATCGAATAAACCGATTAATTCAATACGATTTTAGTTTTAGTTTTTGTTGGAATAACGCATTAAAAATAATATCTTTTATACATATATATATATTATAGTTTTTTAACCTAAGAATAATATACATAATATTAAATTAAAAATATACTCTTATAATAATAGATAACAAATTATTTCAATTATTTAGGTTAATCCAATGTCCAATTATATCTACTAAATCTTGTTTT